ACGAAGAATAAGTCACAACCATCAACCAAAGGTAAATTATACAAGTTTATTGAAAATCCTTAATCTAAAGTCAAGATTCAAGCCAACGAATTAGATTTCTCCACTTTTTTACATTGTTTCTTCTTTTCGGGTGATTTTTTTCCAATATTTCTTGTATAGTTTAATAATTATGATGGTTGGCTTGGTTTTTCAATTGTATTGGATCAATGTTTGAGCCTATTGTCAATTCAAGATTTCAATTTAGGAATTTTGTGTTATTGTTTGATTAATTTTACATACACATTGCACTACTTATTACTTGATTACCAATTAAGTAGTTAATTGTTGTAGTGTAAGAATACTCATAATGAATCTAAAACACAATAAAATCATTATGTGTAATTAGAATTAGGAATAATCTCTCTCGCACATACAATCTTATTGATAATCTAAACTAAATACATGACTTTCATATGAATTCGGACTAGAAATATGATCGTTTTGGAAAAGAGTATTTAATATATTAGCTTTATCGGTTGTCAAAAATGCATGAATTGAGTAGAATAATTATTGAGAATTGAAATAGACGGAAATTGGGCGATACGTGAATTCAATACAAGCATTCACATTCGATAAAATCACAATTTACTTGCTTTATTAGTATAGATTAGAAGTAGTATAAACAACCACAAAATCACTCTTTTGCAATCACTACTCACTCGAATTTATTACTAACTATTGAACTACATTTTAAACATTATTTCTCGTGAGAATGATAAACTCGAAACTCATTATTCCTATTACCAACTTAACACAAAACAATGATCTAAGCATTATAAATAGTTTGCATTTCAGAATTACAAAAATAGTACATTATAACATCGCCGCCGTCTTTGAAATGTTAACAAATTGCCTATTACAGTTTAATTTCAAAATGAGATAATTGATCCAAAAATATACTAAAATCATATAACTTATGCATTAGATAAATTAAAAGAATGCTTATTATGCATATATCTCGCTGTGTGGTACATGATCTCTAAAAGTGATGGGGTTATGCCCAGTTTTCGAAATATGCTACACTTACGAGAAGATCCGCATTTTTCTTCACCATTCCTTTCAACTCCATATCCATTTGCATTCTCCATTCTTCTTAAAATCAACAATGTAACAATCCATAACTGTAAGTAAAACCAAAAATTTAAATAATTTACTCAAGTATATATTAAAGTAATATGAAAATAATTACCATATTCAAATATTTAAGTGACCACATTGTAATCATTAACGATGACAGAGTGCCATCATACATAGTAGATAACGACTGTAGTGTGATTTTACATAGTTAATAATGATTGTAGTGCCGTTCTATATAGCAGATAATTATTAGAGTGCTATTATCATCCAATAGTTGCTGACACATAAAAAAAACACTAAATACGAAAATAACACCAAGTAAAATATCATTCAATTATATATTCAATAATAAAAGTATGATATACATGAGATTTCTAAGTATCCTTGTTTTTTTCTTCAACTATAAATAGATTTCTCAATGTACTCTTGTTTAAATGCCCAAAAGTGGTGAAGAATACAATGAATAAGGAAATTTTAGGATAGTAATCACAGACCGTTGAAGAGGAAGAAAGCGTTGGGAATTTGTGGATACCTTGAAAATGTGAATTGCCTAAAATTATATTGAATTGATAAGGGTGTCAACTAAGAAACATTGTGAGAATGCTATATAACTAAAACATTATTTGACTTGGCTTTTTAACAAAGTCTAGTCTAGAGAATTTATCCATTTTATTACAGAACCAATATCTTCCAAGTTCCCAATTCAAATTCAGTGCCAATCCAAATTAAATTATATTATTACAAAAATAATTAAACTAAAAATTATATTTAATGAAAAAAATATTGCATTTATTAATAAATTAAAACAAATATTAAACACAATACCGCAACTAAAAAAATTAAATTGAACGCACGAGAAAATTACATATAATGACAACTTATTTTGTCACTTATGGTCCGTTTGATTGCAAATGTAGAAAATGAGTGGAAAGAAAACGAAATTTAGGGAAAGTAATTGCCCAAAACTTGTTTTGTAGTGAATTGTTAATTAAGTGTGTTTGATTGGTATAATTTTTCACCTAGGAAAATTTTGAAATTTTGGAACTTTTTGTACACGTTTGGCTTTATTTTACATGAAAATTGTCCGTTAAAGTAATTTTTTTTTTACGATTGGTTATGAAATTTGTTACCATTGTCAAAAAGTAAAAAAAATAATAATAATTTGCTCGAAGACTATTTTTCACCATTTTTTATCAAAATTTAGCGTTCATTTGACTTCGTTTTATATGAAAATTGTCCATTAAAGTAAAAAAAAAATTACAATTGGATATTAAATTTATTTCCATTGGCAAAAAAAAAAAAATTTAGAATTTTATTTTCCTATCAAAAAGTTGAGAAAATGAATTCCTTGGAAAACTGGAAAAGAGGCGCGTGGGTGAGAGGGCGGAAAAAAAAATTCATGCCAAATTTTGTCTATCAAACAAGAGTTAAGGGTGATAATGGAATTTATTTTTCATTTTCCGTGAAAAATGTGGGCTATCAAACATAGCCTTATTGTTTTAGTTTAATGTTGTATTGTATTTTAATTTAGAGTGCGCTTGATTTACTGTTTTTGAGTTGTTTTCAATTTTCAGTTTTGCAAAACAATGAAAACGTATTTAGTTTGATATTTTGAAAATGTATTTTGAAAACAAGGATAAACTTATAACATAACACTCAAATTAAAAAATATAAATATAAAATTCTAAAAAATAAAATTTAAAACCTAAAAAATAAATTCTAAAATAAATAATTCTAAACAAAATAAAAATTATGAAAAAAATTCAAATTCAAAATTTAAAATAAAAAAAGTTCAAGCTCTTAATGATTATTTATATAAAAATTCTAAAAAAGTATTTAAGTGAACATAGATAAAAATATTTTTAATTCACATCACTAATTTTCATTTTATTTCCTATATTTTGAACTCAATTTAATATGTGTTTTTATTTTACTTTTGTAGTGAAAAAAAAATATTGTAGAATTTGCCAACTTTAAAATGTATATATTAAATGATAATATATTAATATAAAATTATTTTATTTTTACTCAATAACAAATTTCATTGAATAAAATGTCATGCAATATTTTTGCAAAGTTTTAAACCAAACGTGTTTTTTAGTTTTCTATTTTAACAAATAATATTTCAAAATGACAAATCAAATACATTTTTAGCTTTCTTAAAATAGACTCTCAAAACAGAAAATTGAAAATGAATTCAAAGCTGAAATATAAACCAAACGGACCCTTAATTTTTAAATATATTTATGTTGTTGTAGTTCTAATTTACTAATTATCAAATTTGTAATTTTTTATTTTTTAATGAACAATTTTATTTTTTATTGAAATAATTATTACTTGTTAATTGATTAGAATTTTAAAATAAATGGTAAATAAAAATAACCATTACATTAAAATAATTATAAATCAATTAAAATCTATTAATTTTAAAATATAAAGGAAGGATATAGATTGAGTAAACATTTGTTGTAAAGTGGAAAGAATGGCAAAATGAGGTTATTGAAAATTCTAAAATTTGTTGTAAATGATGGTTGCGCCCAATTTTGCACTACATTTGAGATAGGGATGAACACTTTTCGATTTGTATGACATTGTGATAAATTTTCAAACAAAAACATTTAAGCAGTTTGAATTTTTTTTTTTTTTATATATCAAACCAAATCACTTCAATTTCTAAACCAAATCAGTCCAAGCCGCACTTTTCTATTTGTTCGATTTATAACCACGGTTTAAAAATTTGGTAGACAATATTGTATTTGTTTGCATTCAATGTCCACCAAAATAATAAGTTGACAAACTTATTGGTCAAAATTTCAAAACGATCATTTATGTAAAACAGTAAAATCTAGAAACTAAGTTAAAATGTAAATAATTAATTGAGTGACCTAACTAGAAGATTGAGACTCAAATAAACAAAAAATGATTGCTAAAATTTAAGGGAGTTTGGCACAAATTAGGACAAAAAAATATAACTACTAATAAAATATAGCAAATAATTAGAAATGTGAGTTTGAATTAAAATCTAAATTTAATCGTATGTTCAATTGTAATGAACGATCGACTAATATGGTTCAAAGCAATTGTTCAACACTTCACCCAATTTCAAGATTTTGCGTTCAAAATTGTGATGACTGATTAATATTTGAGTATAATTTAATTAATTATTTGGGATGAATAATTGTCTGTCTATTTATTGAATTTAATTGGTTTATGTCTAATATGTATGTATCTTTTTAACTATGATGTATTTAATTTTAATTGGATTGAATAAAACTTAAATTCAATTTTTTTTTAATAAACAGTTTAGATATTTGAAACGATTTGCAAAGATTTAAATCTAAACAAAACAATTTCGAAAGACTTTGATTCGATTCAAAATCAAAAAGTCGTGTTGACTCAAATCAACGTTTTTCAAAAATTTTGCAGTTTGATGATTTCATTGTTCAACTACTAATTTGAGGTGCAATCATGCTTGGTGTACACTTTGATATATATCATGATTTATATTTTGTCACATTCCACTTGTCAAAAATTTGTCAACTGATTGGAGAAAGGTATAGTCAAGATTAATATACTAGAATCTACCAACTCACACGTCAATTTTTATATACATGTAACATGATCTGAGTGTCATTTAGCAGTTTAATAAAATATTAATTTTCCATGCAATCACTTTTTTACAGCAAGGCGAATGTCAAGCAGGACCATGTGAACCTTAAAATGTACGAATGGGCAAGGGCTTTACACCAAATTTGACTCTTCGGTGGAGTTGCATTCACCTCTATAACCAAATACTCCACTATATTTCAAATTCAATTCCTCCTCTGCCATTCTTCCCCGAATTTATACACATACCTTTCTATTTCTATTCCTATCCATATACAATGTCGCTGAGGCCGAACTCTAAGGTGGAGGTGCGCCGCAACCGGTACAAGGTGGCGGTGGACGCCGAGGAGGGACGGCGGCGGAGAGAGGACAACATGGTTGAGATTCGGAAGAATCGAAGAGAGGAAAGCCTCCAGAAGAAGCGTCGTGAAGGCCTTCAAGCCAATCAGCAATTTCCTATTCCAGTCGAAGCCACCACCGGCATCGAGAGAAAGGTACATCGGAAGCTTAATTAATTAATAAAAGTCTTTTGTTGATGTGTGTTATATGCATTTAGTTGATTTGCTTCTCATTTGAGGTTTGAATAGTAGTTTTATGATGCTTGATAGAATAGACTATCAGGATTCGTAAGAGTTTTGGTTGAGTTTTTGATTTGTTCAATATTGAACCTGTGCTATGTCTGTAATTCAGCTTCGTTACAATAATTATGGTGATTACTAGGTTCAGCATCTTTCCTGCTTTTTGGTCTTCATTTGTAGGTTGATGCATTTGAATCTGTTGACTAATTTTTCTTAACATTTGAAGTGAACTTTTTTTTGAATTTCTGAATTAAGGTAATTTTGATATTTATGTACTTGTCATGATTGTAGGTGCAGTTAGAAAATCTACCTACCATGGTTGCTGGTGTTTTAACGGATGATGCTGGTAGACAGCTTGAGGCGACTACCCAGTTCAGAAAATTGCTGTCCATAGGTTGTTGTTGGGTCCATAAAATTTGTAACTTGGGTATTCCTTTCCTTACTTTAGATTATGGAAATTAGTTAGTTTTTTGCTATAATGGATTTTTTCCAGAACGGAGTCCTCCAATTCAGGAGGTAATTCAAGCTGGTGTTGTTCCTCGCTTTGTTGAATTTCTCGTGAGGGAAGACTTCCCACAACTTCAGGTGTAACAGCATTACCTATTTAACTTTGAATAATTTTGTTTGCAGTAGATTGGGTTCTGTACTAAAACATTTTTATCTGTTATTACTACAGTTTGAGGCAGCTTGGGCTCTCACAAATATTGCTTCTGGAACATCTGAGCATACAAAGGTGGTAATTGATCATGGGGCTGTTCCTATTTTTGTGAAACTTCTTGGTTCTCCAAGTGATGATGTCCGAGAACAGGTGAGATGTTGAGAGAAATGGTTTTGGCCTTTTTAGTTGCATAGTTCTGATCTTCTGTCATTTTGTTTAGTTCAGTTACTGTGATTTGATCTGTTGCAATGCATTTTTTTAAATCTTACATACAGTAAGTAGATTGTCTGTTCCCTTTTGTGTTGCAGGCTGTATGGGCCTTAGGAAATGTAGCTGGCGACTCCCCCAAATGCCGAGATCTTGTGCTTGGCCATGGAGCCTTGACTCCTTTATTGGCTCAGCTGAATGAACATGCCAAGTTATCTATGCTCAGAAATGCTACCTGGACACTATCAAATTTTTGCAGAGGCAAGCCGCAGCCTCCTTTTGAACAGGTCTATCTCTTATGGGAAGGATCTCATTCTTATTACATTTTGGAGAGATGATGGTTTTCAGAATTGTACAAAAATCATTTGGTAGAATTATAATCATGCTATGCTAGAGGTTTTTATATTCTTTTATTTTCGTTTTTGGCTCTATTATTAAAGAAATGGTAAGATCAGACTTTTTCAAATGATGTTCAGGTTTAGCTTCTACTTTATGTTCACTTACACGACAGGGATCAACTTATATGCTATCATATATTTTCATTGCCATTACTTGAGTTCTCTGGATTCTGGACTTGGATATGTAATTAAATTGAACCTTTATATATATATATATGATGAAAACTTTGGTTATGAACCATAAGAAAGACATTTGCCGTGACCTTATGGTGTTAATTTTACAGACAAGGCCTGCACTTCCAGTTCTTCAGCAACTTGTACATTCAAGTGATGAAGAAGTTTTGACCGATGCATGCTGGGCTTTGTCATATCTTTCAGATGGAACAAACAATACAATTCAAGCTGTGATTGATTCTGGAGTATGTCCGCGCTTGGTTGAGTTATTGCTGTGAGTAATTTTATTTTATGACCTTGAATGAACTTTGCTGCGATATGCACCTGATAACAAGACAGTGTGATGTTTCAGTCATCCCTCTCCTTCTGTTCTTATCCCTGCCCTTCGGACAGTTGGAAACATTGTCACCGGAGATGATATACAAACTCAGGTACAGTTCAGAGGTGTTGGTCTTTTCACTGTTCTCTCGAATATATTTCTTTTTCAAGATATGCTGTATCTTTGCATTATTGTAAAGAACACTGTAAACTTACTACCAGAGCAACAAAAAACCTAGCAAGAGTCCAATAAAAAAAAAGATATCAAGAGAGAGACGCATTATGCTGCATTTATGAGGCATTGATTATAATTTATAAGTGCATAAAGAACAGAGAAAGATCTAATGAATCCCATTCTCTGCTGGGTGTGGGTGCAGGAAGAAGATTCACACCCATTCCTAAGTTTATTTGTTGTTCTTTTGGGTTTCTGGTAAAAAATTAAGTAGCCTGGTGACTACCACAGTGGACATATCATTTTTTTTTTTCTGAAGTGTCCGGTGTGTCAAATTCTGCATTTTTAATTCTGATTCACTGGCTACATGACACAGCATCCTGTACATGGCATCCCCATTTTGTGATATTCATACAACTTAAAGGGAAAACATAAAATTAGAGCAAAAAACAAGTCAATTTTACTGAAATGCATGATGGCTATTCAACAAGGATTATAACAATACAAAAATAGGGATGCTCAAATGAATCTTCCACAACCAAGTTGTCAGGGAGAGAAATCTGATAATTTGGGCGATTGAATCGTGAATCTCTAGATCATTTCTCTGTTGATGTTCCGAGGTTAATAGACGTAATATGAAAGGTGGGGGGAGATAGGAGAGAGATCTGGAGATGACAGGAAATGGGGGGGAGAGATGGGAATATTCTGGAGAGAATAAATGAGAATGGAAAGTTTTGGATGTAAAGTGCAATTTTTAATTCAAGGTAGTGATAAATAATTCTGCCCATTTATTGTTTCATTTACAGCCCTCAAAAATCCGAGCCCCATTTCCATCCAAGGCACAAAGCCATGTTATAGGTGGTGTGACAGCTAGATTGATGGTAATGGGAGATGATAAGTTGCTGGACATGAAGAATTCAAATATAAATCGATTACACCTGTAGAATGTGAATTGGACGAAATTTGATTAAGATCTTCAGAACACATTCAAGAAAAGCGTTAGATGCCAATTGAGATCATAGTATTAAATAACTCCAGATGATCTTATGAGGACCATTTCAATGAAAGATCTGATAACTATCTGGTTTTAGTTTGTTAATTGGGTCAAATCTAATATCTGGATTGAAATGTTAACAAAGAACGTAGGTACCATTGTCACGGGACTAGATTTCTTACACTAGAAAAACTAGACACCGTGTGGTCTTAACGCAACACAATTCCCGTCCCTACGAGAAAGCGCTAAGTCAGCCTTTCGACGCCCCAAAATGATTCAATCTTGTAGGCTAAATCAAGACAAACTTTGAGTATGAAATTTGAAGTAAAGACAATATCGAGAACAAGTAAGTTTGGGGAGAAAATCTCTCTTTCAATAAAAACTCCTCAACTACAATGAATCTAAGAATTATATGAATAGCATGAATCCCATAAATTGCATGCCTTCCAACAATTCTCTCAATTCACATATACTACTTGAAATTCTAATTGATTCCAATCTAATTCAATCTAATAAATTACAAAGGGACTTCATCCCTATTTATAGGCAAATCCCATGTAAACCTCCTTAGATTTAATGGCTAGGATCAATCCTCATCAATCCCCATCCAAGGGTCCCCATTGGCTACAACTTGCCTTTAAACCTCCTTAGACCAAGTGGAAGCAAACTTGGACTTTGCTTCTTTGCAAGTGGATTCTTCCTTCAAAAATCCCATGGGAATTATGTCCCTTTCATAGTCATCAAGTTGAGTTTCTCTTCCTTCCTTGGCCATTCCCTTGCAAGTGGGTTAAGTAACCAACTTGGACAAGTCTTCCCAAAATATCCCAGCAATCTGCCCATAGTATTTTCCTACAGAAAACCACCTGGTATGCTGGGATTTACTGCCCATGTCGCGCCCATGTCACTCCCCATGTCAGGCAGCCTGCATTCTGTGTTGCTGTGCTGCCTGCGTCGTGACGCGACTGCAGTCTGTGTCTGGCCATGTCCTGGCTGCGTCCTGGGAGCTGCCTGCAATCTGCCTGCGATGTCCTGGGAGCTGCCTGCAATCTGCCTGCGATGACTGCCTGTGTCGCAGTGACTGCAGTCACACCCGAATTTTCTAGGCATGACCTGGACATGAACCAGCCACCATGGATATTAGTCATTTCCCCACCATTTTAGGTGACATCCCTGTGCCATGCTAGATTTTAGGACATCACCTTGCGATCCGTCACAATCTCCCCCACCTAATCCGCTAACGCCCTCGTAGCGGAACGTGTTCGGCATTTCTCCAAGTACATCATGCCTTGCGTTGTCCTCTTTTTGACACCAACCTTCACCCTCCACATCAATGCTTTGGTTCCTCGGATGGACGACTCCTTCGGTCGTAACGTCCCCACGTTTGTCAAATGTTTGGACATCAATGCTCTCATTTTTGGACTCTTTGGACAATGATTCATCAATGTCCCCCTTCGGTAGTTCTCCCGGTAACTCCATAGGTATCGCGTCCTCATCATCCTCAGGGACTTTAACTAATCTCATCCCCGAAAGACGTTGAGTCCCTAGGGAAATATCTTCGGTAGCATCAAGCAATTGGAGTGAATTCATCCGAGCTTCAACCCTATCTTGGCTATGTGCTACTTCCGGTTGGCTCACCGAGATGGATGCCAATGATCCTCGCTTAGGACAATCCCTCATGAGATGCGGTCCTTTACAAAGAAAGCAACCACGAGGTGTGAAATTGTTCCCTTTCTTTTCAGCATACTCCTTCCTCCATGAAAGTTGCGTGTTGCCGCCGGGTCTAGAATCAACTTGGGAATTTTGCCTCCCTTCCGGCTTGCCCCATTGCACGGACTTCCCGAAGTTTCCATCATATCCCCCAAAATTCCCTTTAGCGGGCTTGATGGTTCTAGCTTCCGACTCGGCACTTTCTTCAAATTCCGTCAAAGACTCGGCTACCGTAATAGCTTCATCTACGGTCTTGACATCGCGCCGTTGCAACTCACGTTGCATCCAACTAGCACATCCATCTAGGAAATAGAATAGTGAGTCCTCCTCCGGCATGCTTGGGATTTGAAGCACAAGGGTCGTGAACTCTTTGACATAGTCACGAATTGTTCCCGTATGTTTCAAAATCCTCAACTTCTTGCGAGCTTCATAGACGACATTCTCCGGGTAAAATTGCCTTTTGAGCTCCCTTTTGAACACATCCCATGTGTCAATGTTGCAAGCTCCCCGCGCAATTTCACCATGCTTACGACGCCACCACAACGCCGCAACATCCGAGAGGTACATTGAAGCGGTCCGCACCTTCATGGACTCCTCCATAAGATTAACGCCTTCAAAGTAGACCTCCATTTGCCATAGGAAATTTTCCACTTCCGAGGCATCACGTCGTCCGTCATAATTCTTTGGTTTTGGATACTCGATCCTTGGCGCAACAACACTAGTAGCGGCACTTCCGCTTGAACTAGCGGTAGAATTTTTGTATTGCTCAAGCTCCTTGCTCATACGCTCCATCATCAAGGATGATTGGTTTCCTTGACCTTGTACGGCGGACACGGCATCTAAGAGTTTGGCTTGGAGTCTACCAAAATCTTCCGTCATCGCGGCTTGTCGAGCTACCACAGCTTGGACATCGCCTTTCACCGTTTGGACATCATTCTCCAATGATCCTTGTACGTCCAACACCTCTTGGACATTAGATTGGAGAGTTTCTATCTTTCCAAATGAGTATTCCTCCAACGCCTCCAAGGAATTTTCAAGAGATTTGATCATATCCCCCATATTTGCAATGATTGGATCAAGCTTGCCCTCCATGGCAATCGCCTCCCGCGCCTTACTCTTGCTCCGTGTCTTCTTTGCTTCACTTGGGGCAACACCACGTCCCCTTTCCTCAACCTCAACAGTTTGTTGTGGATCCGTCATGATAACAACTTATCACTTGACGAACCTGCTCTGATACCACTTGTCACGGGACTAGATTTCTTACACTAGAAAACTAGACACTGTGCGGCCTTAACGCAACACAATTCCCGTCCCTACGAGAAAGCGCTAAGTCAACCTTTCGACGCCCCCAAAATGATTCAACCTGTAGGCTAAATCAAGACAAATTTTGAGTATGAGATTTGAAGTAACAAAGACAATATCGAGAAACAAGTAAGTTTGCGAGAAAATCTCTCTTTATATAAAAACTCCACACCAATGTAATATACAATGTGATCTAAGAATTATATGAATAGCATGAATCCCATAAATTGCATGCCTTCCAACAATTCTCTCAACTCACATATACTACTTGAAAATCTAATGGATTCCAATCTAATAAATTACAATGGGACTCCATCCCTATTTATAGGCAAATCTCATGTAAACCTCTTTAGATTTAATGGCTAGGATCAATCCTCATCAATCCCCATCCAAGAGTCTCAATTGGCTACAACTTGCCTTAAACCTCCTTTAGACCAAGTGGAAGCAAACTTGGACTTTGCTTCTTTGCAAGTGGATTCTTCCTTCAAAAATCCCATGGGAATTATGTCCCTTTCATAGTCATCAAGTCGAGTTTCTCTTCCTTCCTTGATCTTTCTTAGGCAAGTGGGTTAAGTAACCAATTTGTATAAGTTTGCCCAAAATATCCCAGCAATCTGTCCATAGTATTTTCCTCCAGAAAGCCACCTGGAATGCTGGGATTTACTGCCCATGTCGGGCAGCCTGCATTCTGTGTTGCTGTGCTGCCTGCGTCGTGACGCGACTGCAGTCTGTGTCTGGCCATGTCCTGCCTGCGATGTCCTGGGAGCTACCTGCAATCTGTCTGCGATGTCCTGAGAGCTGCCTGCAATCTGCCTGCGATGACTGCCTGTGTCGCAGTGACTGCAGTCACACCCGAATTTTCTAGGCATGACCTGGACATGAACCAGCCACCATGGATATTAGTCATTTCCCCACCATTTTAAGTGACATCCCTGTGCCATGCTAGATTTTAGGACATCACCTTGCGATCCGTCACACCATGCAACATCACATATTTTATTTGAATTGTAGGTCTTATCATGTATCCATATTATTGTATGTACATGCGAGAAGCTATTGATGCAGCAATACTTGGATATTTTCATGGGAGAGTGCGAGTTATATAATTCTTTTAATCATTTGTGTATTTTAAGAAGATTAAGATGTAAGTTCACTACTTGTCAAAATATTAATACTGATACCAAGTGGTGTGAAACGTGTTCCCCAGTATCATGAGTCAGAATTTATCATCATGAACATTTTGCAATAGTAATCCACTACTAGAACTGCTGTTATATATTAGTTTCTTCCTCCATTCTATGTGGATTTTGCTATTAGTTTATTGAACCTCTGTTACTTTTATGGTTATATTGAGCTTAATGACTTAATTAACAGTTATAAGTGGCTTGCTGCATTATTGCATCCCTCGGTGAAAAACTAACTAGGAGCATTTCCAAAATAGTGTTAAGTCATTTTACGACTAGAGATGCTTGGAAATAAGCTGCATTACTAAATTACAGCATGTTCGCATTTGTTTCTTTAAATCTTTGAAGGATTCCTTTATTGAGACAATGGTTCTTTTCAATTGTAGTCTATAGGACACTAATACTGAAATTTATCTCATTAAGGTTCCTGCTTTCCACTACAGTTTTAGCTTTTCTGATCTGTGTCTTGTGAAGTTTGAGTTAATCGTTGTAGAATAGTGTTCATAGGTTATACTGTCGGTTGTTGGTAATTTTTTTTTGGCTAAGTCGTCTAGTATTTTTCTAGTTTATCATCAACTTCAATGCACTGCCGTGTCTTCTGAACCTCTTGACTGGTAACCATAAGAAGAGCATTAAGAAGGAAGCATGCTGGACTATTTCAAATATCACAGCTGGAAACAGGGAGCAAATTCAGGTACTTGGTATATCAATTATAATTTTCTCAAGAGCCCATGAGATCATTTTTTGGACTTTACTCAATAAAAAGCATGTCAGTTATGGATGACATGACTTTTGCTACTTCTGCAGGCTGTGATTGAGGCCAACATTATTGGCCCGCTAGTTCATTTGCTTCAAAATGCAGAATTCGAAGTAAAAAAAGAGGTTGCATGGGCAATATCTAATGCCACATCTGGTGGCACTCATGAACAAATCAAGTATGTAAATGATAAAGAGTGTATTTTTATGCTAACATTACATGATGTATTAGTATTTACTTTGTCAGATCGGCATCTATTATCTTCTGTAAACAGGTACCTTGTTAGTCAACAATGTATTAAGCCTCTATGCGATCTACTCGTCTGCCCTGACCCAAGAATTGTCACTGTGTGTTTAGAAGGCCTTGAAAACATTTTGAAGGTAGGGGAAGCTGAGAAGAACTTAGGACGAAGTGGAGATATCAATCTCTATGCTCAAATGATTGATGATGCCGAAGGGTTGGAAAAAATTGAGAACTTGCAGAGTCATGACAATAATGAGATTTATGAGAAGGCTGTAAAGATTCTCGAGACATATTGGATTGAGGAAGATGACGAATCGGCACCACCAGGGGATGCATCCCAACAGAGTTTTCAGTTTGGAGGGGGAGATTTCTCTGTGCCTTCAGGTGGATTCAGCTTCAAGTAAGGATTATATGCCTCATTTACCTCCTAAGTCAGAAATACTAAGGGTGTTGAATTCGTATAAGTGGAGTGTCTATTTAAAATGATTTTGTTACTAATCCTAGTAATTTGTATTTTACTATAACATTTCCCCTTTACCTACAAACCCAGAAATAGGAAGAGCGTTAAAGTCTGTGTAATTTGTTAGTTCTTGTGAGTTTTTATCATTCTTCATTTTCGGTGGAAGTAATTCGGATGTTGGAAAATTCTCTTGGTGCATGTTTACACAGTACTCGGTATATAATACAGTATAGTTCTCTTAGTATTTTTTTTTTTTCCCTTTGAAATGGTCGAGTACTATATAATCCTTCTTCCTATTGCATGTATGATTTTTATGAATACAATTGATAGGAAGTTAAAGTTAATTTTACGAAATTTGATGTGCATATGTGACATGGACTCGAAATTCAGATGCTACATTGGATATGATTCCAGTGTGTAATATCATTTAATTCGAATCAAATAAGGGATTTATTTGAATATGTTGAGCAATGTTGAACAGATATTGCATTGTTATGAAAACAAAAATAAATAAGGGATAACTTCATATTTGTTAGCTGTCACCTGCCTCTCTCTCGCTTGATAACAAGGATTTTATATCAAATCCAAGTCAACCAAATTCGAATCTGACTGATTGTTGCGAAATCTACTCATATATGCACGGTGAAATTTTAAAATAATTTCTCTCTTCAAGGATCATCTTTTTGTTGAGATATAGAAGCTATGATTAGAATATTATATTTGGCAAATTCCCAATCTTATTTTGAAAACACTATCTTTTCTTATTAGGATCCGTTTGATTGCAAATGTGGAAAATAGGTGGAAAGAAAATAAATTCCAGGGAATTGAATTGTATTTTGTGAATTATATAAATAACGTTCGCTGTGGTGGAATTTCGTGAATTATATAAATAACGCTCGTTGTGGAATTTCGTGAATTATATAAATAAAGCTCGTTGTGGTGAAATTTCGTTGTCTGCAATTAAGAAAGCTCAAAATCCCTCTAATGAAAGAAATAACACGATATTAGACCTAAAAAAACTTGTAAAACAAGGTGATCAAATGCAATTCTTCATGCTAAAGCATTTAAGCAAAATTTAGTTCACAAATCATATAAATAAACAATAGATGACATGATAATATGATGTATAAGAAAGAAAAAATATCTACTAATTGTCATCAATACACAGTCACAATGAAATATATAGTAGCATGTTACAAAACTTCGAGAATTATGTAATCCAAGATTAATCTTCAGAAGGAAGTTGTAATATGTTCCCTTTCTTGGTGAGCGTGAATGGACTGATTCTGCTGAATTCCCATCTGAGGAAGGTATAACACGTGCAATACCAATTTATATCCGGCCATCGAATGACAAAGACTGAGTGAGATAAAAGGGATGAAGAATGCAAGAAGAGTGTAATGGCAAAAGGTAGTCTATTGATTCTGATGGCAGTCCATTGATGAACAACAAATGCAACTTAGATATCTCCAGCAGCGTGAAAAAAATAGCTGGAAGATGAAATGTGAAAAGTCAAGACTTGGGAGAATCTCAGGTAATTCTTTTCTGTTTTGTGGTGAAAAAAAGTATTCATGCAGGTTCAAAACTTTAAAGCCATAAGAAAGACAGAAAGAAGATTGGATTAGAGGCAGGAATCAAATGTTAATAGGTCCAAATTTATAAAAACATAGTTAATACCACGAGACTATGATACATTTTGTTAGGTGCTATTATTACCTGTCATTCGAATTGGATAAGTAGATTGGTGAAACGAGTTCTGGATTAGCTCAAATTTACAAGTTTAATGGATCAAATGTTCCTCCTTCAGTTCAAGTGAATAAGAAATCAGAATTATTTGGCGGAAAAAAAAAAGTAATTAAAAAATTCGCAGAGACCCTTCGTAAATTTGGGAGAGAAGACGAAAGGATAAACCAAGAAAAAGAAGAGAAATAATTAAAACAATGTGAAATGAAAATAAGTAAACAATAAAGGTAATGTGACCCTTCGTAAATTTGGGAGAGAAGTCGAAAGGATAAACCAAGAAAAATAAGAGAAATAATTAAATCAATGTGAAATGAAAATATGTAAACAATAAAGGTAATGTCTTCGAAATTTCATTGAAGAAGCTCATATCGTCATCAAACTCAATAAAGATTGCCTATTTCGATCCGCTGGGCCACTCTCTCTCTCTAAAAAGAGAGTACCTTTAGAGGGAGAAATGACATAATACAAGAAAAAAGCTCGGATAAGTTTTGAGATCATTTGTTCAAACTTGTCTCTACTTCGATAATATTCTCCTTTAAGAAATAGCTCACGTGTAAACTTGCCACTCATAAGGGGGTCCGTAATTGCAGCCTTTGTTGCTCTGATGGGGTAAAGTTATTGTTACCTTGACACTTAGCAGCCTTTGTTGTGCTTGACCACGATTTATCTATTGTAAACCAGATAGAGTGATAATTAGACCACTAAAACAGCTATTCTGCTAGAATAGACTCTCCACAGAAATTTTAAAGCACAAGGTAAAAAATCAATTGATCTATGCATCTACATTAATGCCAAATAAAAAAATAATAGATTTTATTTTCTACACTCCAAATATCAACAACAATGAGAATAATAGCAAAGCCTCTAAAGATCACAAGCACTAATAAGTTTTATTCCAAATTTAGGTAGATTGAATCTCTTTGCACATGAAATTATTAACAGCCTTTTAACATTAACACATGTTTGAGCAGTCAAAATTAGATTTTGACGGAAACCCCTTTTTCTAAATGAAATGACATAATGAATTAATTGCTATTACAAGGCGGGGGGCTATTAGAATTAAAAAAAGCTGAAATATGAAGAAATAACGAAATCACAAAATCTAAATATCACGAAACAATATATAAATAGTAATTCAATAAATTTTTGATTTTCCAGACGCAAAGAACAGAGAATCATAATGGCTAACACAAATTATACCCCCACGAAATTGAATAAGCTTAGATCATGTTATTTTTTAGGGAACCCAGACTACAAAATGAAAAACCAAAAATCATACAGCATATTTTCACCTCATTTTCCTACATTCATTTCCAGTATGTGTGTAAGGAGAACATACCATTTAAGAGACGTCGGCTCGACCCACAACAACCAACATCATCAACGCCTCGACCCCCACCGACCCGTCGATTCCCCCTCCATCGCAACTCTAAATCACCGCCAT